GTGGTGTGATCTCGGCTCACCACAACCTCCACCTCCTGGGTTCAAGCAATTCTCCTGCCTCAGCCTCCTAAGTAGCTGGGACTACAGGCATGTGCCACCATGTCTGGTTAATTTTTGTATTTTTAGTAGAGATGGGGTTTCACTATGTTGGCCAGGCTGGTCTCAAACTACTGACTTCGTGATCCACTCGCCTTGGACTCCCAAAGTGCTGGGATTACAGGTGTGAGCCAACACACCTGGCCTGGATTAGTTTTTTCTTTCTTTTTTCTCTTTCAGTGTGCTTATGGTATTTATTTAACATACAAATGCTTTCAGTTTTAGTTTTTTTCCTGTTATTTAATTTTATTATTTTAATATGTAGAATACTAATATTCTTTTTTTCAGACAAAATTATACAGAAAGTTATATACAGAAAAGGTCACTCCTCCATATTTCCCTCCCACTCTGTTCCTTCTTTACCCCTCAACTCCATCATTTCTTGATTTATCTCTCCTGTTTCTTTTTGTAAAAATAGGCATATACATACTTCAATTTTTAAAAAAAATTTTCCCTTCTTTCTTACACAAAGGTAGCACATTACATGCTGTTTGTACTTCACCTTTCTCACTTAATAATATCTCTGGAAATCACTCCATGTCAGTGGACAGAGATTTTCTTCTTTCTTGTTTTTATGGCTGCACATTAATTCCATTTTGTGTATTTACCATATTTTATTCAACCAATCTCCTATATTGGGCATTTAGATAATTTCAAATACTTTGTGAATCCACATAAAGATGCCAAAATAACCTTGTACATATATATTTTGATATTGTTGGAGGCTGAGCTTCAGGGTGAATTCCTGAAGTTGAATTACAATGTCAGTGAATAATACATAGTTTTGCTAAATATCATCATATTCTTCTCAATATTGGTGGCACCATTTTGCACTCCCTTCAGCAGTATATGAGTGTGCATGTTTTCCCCAAAGCCTTGATGACAGAGAATATTGTCAAACTTGAAATTCATGACCATTAAATGGAGAAGAACTGATGTCCCAGTACATTTAAAATTTGGATTTCTTTTATTATGAAAAAATTTCATGTTTTTCAAGTGATTAAGAGTATTTTAATTTTTGTGTGTGAATATTTGTTCATGGCTTTAGCCCATTTTTCCATAGGATTTTTCAGTTTTTTATCCTCAATATTTGTAAGTTATCAACTAAATATATTGATAAAGATATGTATATTGATATATCATCTGAGATATATGTTGTAAATATTTTCACTTACTTTATTATTTGCCTTTTGACTTTGCTTTCTCTCTCATGCATATTGTTTTTATTTTTAAGTAGCTAAATTTATCCATCTTTTCTTTCATTGCATATATATTCATACAATTGTAGTTATATATATTTATACCATATAGTATATGTATATGTACACATATATATAACTATATATAGTATTTATATACTATAACTGTACGTATATATCTACAAATATAGCTATAGATAGATATACATGCATGTATTATGTGTATATATATAGTTAAGAAAATATCCTTTTTCTCAAGACGTTTTAGTAGGAATGGGTGTTGAATGTTGCCAAAGATTTTTTCAACAGCTATGGAGATTATTCCTATCCTTTTTCTCCTTAATTCTGCTTATATGGTAAATTATATTAAGCAATTTTCTATCATCAAATGCTTCTTGCACTCTTGGTATAACCCTTAGGTAATGTTTTCAATTCCCATCACTATGTCTCAGATATTGGGGTCTCTACTGTAGTGGCCTTGCCTCTATTAGCAGACACCTTTCTGAAGCCTTTAAAAGTATTTCTCACATGTTGTCCCTGAAATCATACCTTTTCCTTTATTATTTTCTCGTCTTTGTGCATATTTTTTTATATGTATCACACTGTATGTATTTGTTTAAATGTCTAGCTCTTCCATTAAATTTTACATTCACTGAAGGCAGGCAATAAGCTGTTCTTAGTTTTTTTTTTTTTATATCAATTTCATGAGTGTGGAATCCACAAACCCTAAACTGGCCATCTAAAAGAGGTATTCAGGAAAAGTGCTTATCAGACTTTTCTCGTAACTAGCCACAAAATTAAAATCAATTCTTATTTATTATTGTGTTAGATTTCAGATCTATTAGTCACCAAAACATGTCCCTTTAAATCAGTGCAATGGCTTTGTTTAAGAAAAATCCAATGCAACCCAATTATCTGTAAGAGTGGAATTAGGCTTATCTTAAACCAGTCATGCAAAAATGATTTTACCATAGATGGAATTCTCAGATTCCTGTTCATCTTCCCATTCAGCATTAACAGATACTTATGCTCTGAAGAGAGAAAATGCAGAATAGAGAGGTTAACTCTTACACGTCGCTCTCAGGATATCAGGTCCACTATCAAACTTCTCTGCAGGATTCATGTAACTGTTGTTCTATCCCCTCTAGCCTACCTTCTTGGCACTTTGAAGTATTTTCTGGTGATAGTTGAATGGCATAATGCTGTAGCCAATTTTATTTGCTGATATATCTTCTTTGGACAGTAAATGGGACTTAGTCTGACAAAACTCAGGGCAAATGTGCATAAGTTTCTAGCACTTACCGAGGGTAGCTGGATATGGCCTCCGCCATGCTCTTTTCTTTATGTTGTGATACTGGGTTTGTTGCTCTTCCTTATTACTCCCCCCAGTGTCCCTCCCCACAATCACAATGCCACAGTCTTTGAACAAATAAGAGGAATCTGAGTGAGCAGAACAGGAAAGACTTTGGAGATTTGGCTAACAGAGATTGGAGGATACAAAGATGCTGTCTGAGGAGAAAAATTTAGATTCTGTTATTCCTATTTCTATGTTATTTACACCCAATAAATATTAAGACCTATTACAGATGCACCATTCAAGCTTTGAGAATAATTCCAATAGTGTTCTCTGGCCCTGACCTAGCTTAAGGTCATAGTGTCCTGCTTTCTGGTTATGGCTTCCTGACTGGAGCATGGTGCCTTTGTTAGTAATCCAGGAAATCCAGGAAAAATGCACCTTTGTAGGAGCTGGGAAATAAACTGCCTTAATTCCCCAATTCTCACTATGTGTTTCTGCCAGTTAATGTGGACACCCATCCTTTAGCTGGTTGACACAGCCATGATTGCTGCTGTCAAAAAGTCAATTAGGCTACGCATCTCGGCCTTCATCTCAAAGAGAACAAAGTTTCTGTATTTCTGAAGATTCAACCTTCAGGTTCAAAGTCACCATCCTAAGTCTGGGTGCCAAGAGAGCTGCCTTTAAGGACCTCTTCCCCTGTTCAGAGCCTCTGAGACATTTTTCATTATCTCTCACCTTAGTAAATTTCTCTAAATTTTCTTTTCAACTTCTGATCTTGATTACTCTCCTTTCTCTTTTCATTTCCTCATGTTCTTTGACACTTCCTAGAGCATCCTACCCCACAGGGTTAATTACTTCTACTTTTCTTTGTTTTCTGTTACAATTTTTAGCATATACTACCAAGGCATAAAATACCAATGTTTACTCAAAAGCACACAAAGCAGTAGCTCTTGTCTATAGTAAAAGAAGATACCAAAGCAATTAAAGATCAATTACACTCTAGGCTATAAATCAGAGAGCTGGGTCATCATTTTGGTTTTACCATTTCTAATTGTGTGACCTTGGACAAGTCAATTTCACAGAACCCTTAACTTATTATTTGTAAAATGACCTCTAATACCCATCCTGGTCAAATGTTCTATGATTTTTAAAAAGTTATTTTGGTGAAGTCAACCATATCTTCCTGTTAAAACAAAACTCATGTTGAACCAAAGAAAATAGAAAATACTCTTTTTTTTTTTTTTTAAAGCATGCATTAGGCACTTACATATGAGCTAAAATATGCCTACCTCTGGATCTATATGTGTAGGTTAACTATTGCTACAATGTTGTGTAATAATCACACAATTTCAGTGGCATGCCACAGTATTTAACTTATGTGCCTGTTGAGGTAGACTGTGGGTTTTGCTGATCTAGACTGGGCCAGACTTGGGTAGTTCTGCTCCGTGAGCCTTTCTTTTTCTTCTTGACACTAGTAGGCTAGTCTGAAAATGATCTTCTCATGGTGATGGTAGAAAAGAAGAGAGCGAAACCAATCGTAGAAGTACTTTTCAAACCGTAGGTTAGTCATGCCCATGATACTCCATTGCAAAACAAATCACATTGTCAAGTTGAGGTATGCTCCTGGTGCAGGTGGGTAAGGAAATGAATATATGAATAACAATGTTAACTAACACATAGTGCTTTGGAAATGAGCGACAAACATGTTTACATATGGCTTTTTCTGAGTGAAAATGAAACTTTAGGGATTAGAGTCTAGTATTGCTATTTTTCCTATGAGACAGAGCTAAATTCACTTCTAGTGACAGGAGTTGCTGGTTGAGACACTCTATGAATTTACTTGCACACAATTTAGGGTTCAAATGAAACTGTCATTTTAGTCAAATAAGGGTGGTCAAGCTCACAGCACTACCTAAAAGGCAACTGGAGCCCCTCCAATTTGCAGGTTTGTGAAAAGTTCCTCTGAACTACTCACTGAAGATCCCTCCATTTATAAGCAACTGCTCACTCTATTCAAGTGGTAATGAATGTGCAAATGCTGGCTGGAACTTAATTACGAGACTAAAAGAGTGTACTTCAAAGAAGAGCTAATATAAAAACACAGTGAGACACCTGTCATGTGATAGATTGATAAATTACATGGATTTATGTTATACTGTAAAACTGTCTCTCCCTTTAGTGAAACAATCCAAATACCTCCAACTCTGCCACTCTCTACCCCCACTTTCTACTTATATTCACATGTTCTAGTAAAACAGTAAAATAAAGCCATAATGCTTTATACACAAATTACTGATGATTAAGTCGCGTTAAATACAAATAACTATACACATGAAGCAAAGCAACAGTCATACATATGAAGCTAGCATGTGTTTCTTGAGAACTAATAAGGAATTATAGATAAATAATTAAGGCAGGTAAACCATTTATTTTTCTAGTTGTTGAGCTGTATTTCAGTAATCTATTGCTATGTAACAAATTATTCTCAAAATTAATCATGTCAAACAATATGCACTTATTATTTTATAGTGTTAGAAGTTCAGAAGTTTAGAAAAAGGCTTAGCTGGGTAGTTCTGGCTCTCTTTAGGTCTTGGTCAAAAGATCAACTGAAGTTGCAATTATCTGAAGACTGGACTGGAGGCTGGAATATCTGCTTCCAAGATGGCTTCCTTACATGGCTGGCAAGTTGGTGCTTATTAGCAAAATACCTCAGTTCCTTGACAGGTAGATTTCTCAATAGGGCTGCCTGGGTGTCTTCATGGCATGGGAATGGACCTTTCCCAGTGTCAGTGGTCAAAGAGAGATCAAAGTGGAAGCCACACTGTATTTTGTGACCTAGCCTTGGTCATTTCTAAGCTTTTTTGGCTATACCAAGGATGAGACTGGTACTCGATCTCAACATTGTGCAAGTGCATGACCCTGAGTGTGAATACCTCCTTAAATTTTTTTCCCTAGATACATTGATTGCCTCACCTTAATCCTGGCCCCAGGTTATACAAATCATCTGTATTCAGCATCAGAGGGAACTGTATAAGAGTGTGAACAGTAGGAGGCACGAACATTGGGGCTCATCTTGGAGGCTGGCCACCACAAGAGTTAAGCACCTACCTAAGATTCTGAGTGATGAGAAAAACTTCCACTGGCTCGATGGTTCTCAACTTTGCTGAACATGTGAATCATCTGCGAGTGCTGATGCCTGTGCCTCACTCCTCAGACGTTCTGATTTAATTAAACTGAAGTGTGACAGCCATGGTATTTAAGAAAAAGACATAATCTCCAAATAACTCTGCACAAGGTATTCTCATGTGCAGTCAGGGATAAGCATACTGCAAGTGAACTGAAGTTTCCTTTTGAGACTAAAGTCCACACAGAATTTGCCTATCACTATCTGTCAACAACATCTGTTTTTCCCTCCTGGAGCAGGGAGTGTGGGAAGGTTTCAAGAGACGAGGAGGATTAGTCATTTATTCCCTCACAAACTGTTGCTGAATACAGAACACGTCTGGCTGACTAGGTTTCTTCTCTGACACCTGCAAATTCTACTTCAACTGTTCTGTAAAAGATTGGTAGGAGCAGGGTTAATTAATCAGTGCTGATCTGATTTGAAGCTCTTTCTCTTTTTCAAAACAGATCAAAACAGGCAGGTTAAACGAACAGGAAAGTCCCCAGATGAAAAAGAGAAAAACAGGAATTAGATGAGTAGGGTTGGACATAGGCTGCCTGTTTACTTACAAAACAGTTTGGTACCAGTTTGATGGACATACACACGAAGGCACTCAGATGAAACCACTCTTGGCTAATATAATTTTAGAGGCCAGTGGAGTTTTACATCTTCTAGGCTACTTGGTTGTTGGCTAGTTATCTCTTTGATCCCTCTTCATCCTGGTCCACGTGGCAGGAGTCTGGGCTGAACATGGTGGGAAGACAGTGAAGGAGGATTGAAAATGTGGTTCCTGTGCAAAGTATTCTGTTTCCCGTCCATGAAAATAAACAACAGAATTTCAATATGAAGACTAACTATACTTCTCCATTACTTGGCAGCCTCGTTAGAACTGTTACATTTTCTTTTTCCTATAATTATTATCTTAGGGAATGCAACAAAGTCCCAGGATTTTGGCAAAGAGTTTACAATGTTGATAGATGTTCAAATAAGAGGATCAGGCATAGGCATACACTTGAAACCATTGCTGTCCTTCCATCAGAGGATTTAAATGAAAATACTGTATTTTTTAAATGATGGCAGACTAATATGTACTTCTTACATAAGCAGGAAAACCACTACAAATTGCATTGAGTGTGAACATGACATATCCTCTCACTCTTGGTTAAGCTTCAGGCATTTGAAGATGAAGGGGGGTGAGTTGCTGGGAAAACAGGTCACTCACTTCTGACTTCCATTTCAGCTGCAGCAAAGGCGTGGCTGAAGAGCGACTATATTAATAAAGCACAATGTCTACCTTCTCAATAGGATTCCAGCAGAGTTCTGCTATAGGGCAAAGTCTCATGAGACTAGAGGGTCTCCATCTCATGATAAGGCAGATCACTTTCGTTGGGCTCTTGAATGCAAGTGTACTTGATAGGAGGGGGTGGTGGCTTGAAAGGTGGAGGTCTTTCCATGCTAGGAACAAAATATTGGTCTTTCAGTGCCAAGAATGTGAGGCAGTCTTAGGCACACACACACAGACATGCGTTGTTTCTTTAAAGGAGAACACAGATTGATGAGAAAGAGACATACCCTCCCAGTTCTTTCAGCATTTTTGCTGGCATAACCCTGTGCTTGTTAGTCCTGTCAACCATTTGAACCTCATGATGTTACTATTAGTTAATATTTAGATGGTACTTTGTAGTTTGCAAAGTGTTTTTATCATAACATTATTTACTTTGTGTGCAGGAAATGCATCACCATTTACAGATAAAACTGAGGCCCAGAGGGTTTTTTTTTTTTTTTTGAGATGGAGTCTCGCTCTGTCGCCCAGGCTGGAGTGCAGTGGCCAGATCTCAGCTCACTGCAAGCTCCGCCTCCCGGGTTCCTGCCATTTTCCTGCCTCAGCCTCCCGAGGAGCTGGGACTACAGGTGCCCGCCACCTCGCCCGGCTAGGTTTTTGTATTTTTTTTTTTTTTAGTAGAGACGGGGTTTCACCGGGTTAGCCAGGATGATCTCGATCTCCTGACCTCGTGATCCGCCCGTCTCGGCCTCCCAAAGTACTGGGATTACAGGCTTGAGCCACCGCGCCCGGCCGGCCCAGAGGTTTTAAACAACTTGCTCAAGAGAACCAGACAGACGATTCAAGTCTTTTCACCAGAACTGATACTCTGCATGAAAACTGCCTCCTAATAGAAGAAATGTTTCTCTTATGTGGATTAAAATTTTCCTCCCGAGACTAAATCTTAAAATTCTAGGATTTAAGACTGAAGCTTTGCATATAGCCTCTTTGCTAACCCTAGCCCCAGCCTTTGCCCGAACACTCACTATGTACTGTGGGGATATGGTAGAGATGGGAAGTAAATCTCTTCTTGATCCCTGAGTACTGGCTAGATAATGCCTAAATCCCTTTTGTTTGAATCAGTGAACATTCTTAAAGCCATCTTTGCACAAAGCACTATTTTATGTTAGTGCAAGTCATCTCTTTTTCAGAAACATGTTAAAGAGCCAAGTTAGTGTGGAATTTAGCTATACAAATGCTCTAGCTATCTCGATATCAGGAATCAGAAATATATCTGTGAACATCTTTATGTCCATCACTCAAACACCTCCATGCCCTGGCAATCCATAGCCTCTTAGGAGAGATAAAGAGTGGGTGGTGGGGGAAGGAGGATGGAGAGATTGATTCTTATCTCCATATAAAACAAACATTTGAATACAGAACAATTTAAAAAATCAATTCAGATTTTCAGATTTCATTTGTTCATTTAATATAAAGCTCTCTAATCCCTGTTACCCAATTTTCAGATGCTTTAATGGAGACTTCATATGTATTAATAGGTAGGTACAATGCTACGAAATGTGCACTTTTGTTTTACTTTTGTTTTTTGGAGGAATTATGAGTTTCTCAAGGTCATGTGGTGGCCAAATTGTAGTCCTTGGAAAAGAACCCAGAATTTCTAACTTCTGGTTTAGTGTTGTATTCACCACTCCCTGTATGTGGTTATAGGGTCTTCAAGGATACTCTGCAAAAGGTAGAAAAGCATATGGCAAGATGGTTAATGTTATCTTAGAGCAGTAGTAAGACAAGTGGAAGATCAGCTCTGGGTACTGGGGTCTCTTCCAATGATGGCCCAATCCAGACTGACTCAAAATAGCAAGTCAGAAAAATGAGGCTTAACCTTATGTACCATTTCAGCCTGCTGATTGGAGAAGGGTTTTTGGAAAACATTTCAACAAGGCAAAAAGGAGTAACCCAATGCTTACTTTCTTTTCTGCTTGGGAAAAAAGGAAAAGGGCAGTAAAAGCCCACCCTAGTAAAAAAGCGGCTGGAAATCTCTTAAAATTACCTTTCTCACTCAATTTCACACTCGAGCATCTAGGACCAGCGGAGTCTAGGCAGTTCAAAGATGCATGAAAATGAAAAAATAATGAAGATTAAAAGAAAGATCAGTTTTAGTTTTGAGGGGAGGTAAGGCTCAGTTCTCATTTCATGTCCACGGACTTGCTCTATCTGACGAACGTTACAGCCTGACTAGGCCAATGCAGAGAGGGATACTGAGTCAGGAGTTGTGTATTTAATCCCAACTGTGTGATGCTGGGAAAGCTATATAATCTCTCTGAGCTTCTGTGAGCCTTATTTCTTCATTAAAATATGGGAGGAACTTCACAGAGTAATAATATATTGTACTGATGAATATTTTACAATGAAAAGTTGTCAGTTCCTATATATGTTAATATTATACTCACATTTCTTTTTGGTATTGACACCATTTTCTCACTCCAAGACCAAACAATATCATGCAGCAAAAGAGTAAAGCTGCTACAATCACTGGCCAGGACATTCCATCTTTGGGCTTACTGACCACAATACCTGAAAAGGGCATAAAGAAAGATGAACTTTGGCTTTTGGAAAACAGGATTAATTAAACTATTTCTCCTACGTGAAACATATTTTCTTCAAAGGCCATGGGGATTCTCATTGGCTATGATCATACTCTAGAGGTGGGCATGTCTATGCCTTGTTACCTACACGAGGTGATAACTTTTAGGAGTTAATGATGTATCCTATCAGAAAATGTCCATGGATATATATATAAGCATACATATGTATCATGAATATATACCTCTTTTATTACAAGTGGGGGCATATTATACACACTGTTCTGTCCACGGCTTCTTTTTCTTTTTCACTATTTTAGGTTCAGGGGTACATGTGCAAGTTTGTTACACAGGTAAATTACTTGCTGTGGGGATTTGGTGTACAAATTATTTTGTCACCCAGGTAATCAACGTAGTGCCGGATAGGTAGGTTTTTTTTTGTTTTTTGGTTTTTTTAATCTTTACCCTCCTCTCAACCTTCAGAAGGCCTCAGTGTTTGTTGTTCTCTTCTTTGTGTCCATACGTACTCAATGTTTAGTTCCCACTTATTAGTGAGAACATGCTGTATTTGGTTTTCTATTCCTGTGTTAGTTTGCTTAGGATAATGGTCTCCAGTTCCATCAGTGTTGCTGCGGAGAATATTATCTCATTCTTTTTTATGGCTTCATAGTATTCCATGGTGTATATGTACCATGTTTTCTTTATCCAGTCACTGTGGATGGGCGTTTAGGTTAGTTCCATGTCTTTGCTATTGTTAATAGTGCTGTGATGAACATACGTGTTCATCTGTCTTTATGGTAGAACAATTTATATTCCCTTGGGTATATATCCAATATAATAAGATTGTTGGTTCAAGTAGTAATTTTTTTTTTTAAGTTCTTTGAGCAGTAGCCAAACTGCTTTCCACAATGGCTGAACTAATTTATATTCCCACCGGCAGTGTATAAACATTCTCTTTTCTCCACAATCTCACCTGCATCAGTTTCTTTCTTTCTTTCTTTCTTTCTTTTTCTTTTTTTTTTTTTTTTTTTTACTTTTTAGTAATAGCCATTCTAACTTATGTGAGATGGTATCTCATTGTGGTTTTAATTTGCATTTCTCTAGTGATTAGTGATTTTGAGCTTTTAAACTAATCTAAGAATGTAAAAACCATTTTACATTTTTAACATTTTACATTTTACATGTTTTTAAAGAATAAGAGGCCAAAAGATGTACACCTGGCCTCTTTTTCTTAAAAAAACATTCTTGAAATACTTTCCATAGCACTGCACAGAGATTCACCTCATTCTATTAAATGACTGGATAGTTCAATGGATATATCAGTTTATTTAATTTATCTCACAATGTTAGATCGTTAAATTGTTTCCAGACTTTGTTATTGCTAATGATACTCCAGTGAAATTTCTTATACATGATAGATAGATCTTTAGGTACTTCGATTACATAGATCATTTGGGCAAAAAGCTATCCGGATTGGTTTTCTTTCCTTGTCTCAACTAGGTAGTAAACTGCTTGTGAGTGAAGCAAGGATTTAAATTTCTTTCATTTCCCCGTTTTTATTACACTGCTTTTCATACAGCAAAATCTCAAAAAATACAGGTCAAAGAACTAGATTTAATATTTGCTATGACATCTTTTCTGTGTTCGTACAAAGACTGGACTGAAACCATGTGATGTTCTCATGTTAGCATTGGTTAGAGTGTTGAAGACTTCTCCCTTTCATACAACATACATCCAGGAATTCAAGGTCTTCCTGATTCTCAACCCTGTCAAAGTAGAAACTGAGGGTTCCCTGGAGACCCATGTAGTCCAATAATACATAATCATGTGATACATTGTATATACAGATGACTAGAAAGTTTACATAGTTCAAACCACTAGAGTAGTATGATCATGAAAGAGACAATTGGTCAACTCAGGTCTAGACAAAGTTCTGTTTCATGCAAGTCAAAATTTACTAAGCTCCACCGTGGTAATATGGTGAGATATAATATTTTATCTCCAGAGTTTTAGATAAAGGAAAGAACAAAAGGTTTTATTTTATTTTTCCATAAGTTATTGGGGTACAGGTAGTATTTGATTACATGAGTAAGTTCTTTAGTGGCTATTTATGAGACTATGGTGCACCCATCACCCAAGCGGTATACACTGCACCATATTTGTAGTCTTTCATCTGTCGCCCCCTCCCACTCTTCCCTTCAAGTCCCCAAAGTCCATTGTGTCATTCTTATGTCTTTGTGTCCTCATAGCTTAGCTTCCCACATATCAGTGAGAATGTACAATGTTTGGTTTTTCATTCCTGAGTTACATCACTTAGAATAGTAGTCTCCAATCTCATCCAGGTCACTGCAAATGCTGTTGATTCATTCCTTTTTTATGGCTATGTAGTTTTCCGTTTTGTGTGTGTGTGTGTGTGTGTGTGTGTGTGTATAAAACAGTTTCTTTATCCAGTCATTGATTGATGGGCATTGGGTTGGTTCCACAATTTTGCAATTGTGAATTGTGCTGCTATAAACATGCATGTGCAAGTATCTTTTTTGAATAATGACTTCTTTTCCTCTGGGCAGATATCCAGTAGTGGGATTGCTGGATCAAATGATAGCTCCACTTTTAGTTCTTTAAGGACTCTCCACACTGTTTTCTCTAGTGGCTGTACTAGTTTACATCCCCACTAGCAGTGTAGAAGCATTTGCTGTTCACCACATCCATGCCAACATCTACTATTTTTTTATTTTTTTGGTTATGGCCATTCTTACAGGACTAAGGTGGTATCTCATTGTCGTTTTGATTTGCATTTCCCTGATTATTAGTGATGTTGAGCATTTTTTCATATGTTTGTTAGCCATTTGTATATCTTTTGAGAATTGTCTATTCATGTCCTTAGCCCACTTTTTGATAGGGTTGTTTGCTTTTTTCTTACTAATTTGTTTGAGTTAGTTGTAAATTCTGGATAGTAGTCCTTGGTCAGATGTATAGATTGTGATGGTTTTCTCTCACTCTGTGGGTTGTCTGTTTACTCTGATTATTGTTCCTTTTGCCGTGGAAAAACTCTTTAGTTTAATTATGTCCCAGCTATTTATCTTTGTTTTTATTGCATTTGCTTTGGGTTCTTGGTCATGAAATCCTTGCCTCAGCCCATGTCTAGAAGAATTTTTCCAATGTTATCTTTTAGAATTTTTATAGTTTCAGGTCTTAGGTTTAAGTCCTTAATCCATCTTGAGTTGATTTTTGTATAAGGTGAGAGATGAGGATCCAGTTTAATTCTCCTACATGTGGCTAGCCAATTATCCCAGCACCATTTATTGAAAAGGGTGTCCTTTCCCCACTTTATGTTTTTGTTTGCTTTGTTGAAGATCAGTTGGCTGTAAGTAGTTGGGTTTATTCTGTTCCATTGGTCTATGTGTCTATTTTATACCAGTACCATGCTGTTTTGATAGCTATGGCTTTATAGTATAGTTGGAAATCAGATATGTGATGACTCCAGATTTCTTCTTTTTACTTAGTCTTGCTTTGGCTATGTGGGCTCTTTTTTGGTTCCATATGAATTTTAGAATTGTTTTCTCTAATTTTGCGAAGAATGATGGTGGTATTCTGATGGGGATTGCATTGAATTTGTAGTTTGCTTTTGGCAGTATGGTCATTTTCACAATATTGATTCTACTCATCCATCAGCATGGGATGTGTTTCCATTTGTTTGTGTCATCTATGATTTATGTCATCAGTGTTTTGTAGTTTTTCTTTTAGAGGTCTTTCGACTCCTGTGTTAAGATATTCCTAAGTATTTTATTTTATTTTATTTTTTGCAGCTATTGTAAAAGGGGTTGAGTTCTTGATTTGATTCTCTGCTTGGTCGCTGTTGGTGTATAGATGAGCTACTGATTTGTGTACATTAATCTTGTGTTCGGAAATTTTGCTGAATTCTTTTATCAGTTCTAGGAGCCTTCTAGAGGAGTCCTTAGGGTTTTTAAGGTAAACAATAATCATCATCAAACAGTGACAGTTTGATTTCCTCTCTACTGACTTAGATGCACTTTATTTCTTTCTCTTGTCTGATTGCTTTGGCTAGGACTTCCATTACTACGTTGAAGAGGAGTGGTGAGAGTGGGCATTCTTGTCTTGCTCTAGTTCTCAGAGGGAATGCTTTCATCTTTTCCCCATTCAGTATTATGTTGGATGTGGATTTGTCATAGATGGCTTTTATTACATTAAGGTATGTCCCTTGTATGCCAATTTTGCTGAGTTTTAATCATAAAGGGATGCTGGATTTTGTTGAATTTTTTTTCTTTTGTATCAATTGAGGTGATCATGTGATTTTTGTTTTTAATTCTGTTTATGTGGTGTATCACATTTATTGGCTTGTGTATAATAAACCATCCCTGCATCCCTGGTATGAAACCCACTTGATCATGGTGGGTTATCTTTTTGATATGTTGTTGAATTTGGTTAGCTAGTTTTTTTGTTTTTTTGTTTGTTTGTTTGTTTGTTTGTTTGTTTTAAAGGATTTTAGCATCTATGTTCAGCAAGGATATCAGTCTGTAGTTTTCTTTTTTGGTTATGTCCTTTCCTGGTTTTGGTGTCAGGTGAGGCTGGCTTCATAGAATGAATTAGGAAGGGTTCCTTCTTTCTCTATCTTGTGGAATAGTGTCAATAGGATTGGTACCAATTCTTTCTTGAATGTCTGGTAGAATTCTGCTGTGAATCCATCTGGTCCTGGACTTTCTTTTGTTGGTAATTTTTTTTTTTTTTTAGATGGAGTCTCAGTTTGTCACCCAGGCTGGAGTGCAATGGCACAATCTTGGCTCACTGCAACCTCTGCTGCCCAGGCTCAAGCAATTCTCCTGCTTCAGCCTCCCAAGTAGCTGGGATTATAGGCGCCTGCCACTGCACCTGGCTAATTTTTGTATTTTTAGTAGAGACAGGTTTTCACCATCTTGGCCAGACTGGTCTTGAACTCCTGACCTCATGATCCACTGGCCTCGGCCTCCCAAAGTGCTGGGATTACAGGCATGAGCCACTGCACTCGGCCCTTGTTCGTAATTTTTAAATTGCCATTTCAATGTTACTGCTTGTTATTGGTCTGTTTGGAGTATCTAATTTTTCCTGATTTAAGCTAGGTGGGTTGTATTTTTCCAGAAATTTATCCATGTCTTCTAGGTTTTCTAGTTTATGTGCATAAAGGTGTTCATAATAGCCTTGAATGATCTTCTGTATTTTTGCGGTGTCGGTTGTAATAGCTCCCATTTCATTTTTTAATGAGGTTATTTGGATTTTCTCTTTTCTTTTATTGGTTAATCTTGCTAATGGTCTATGCATTTTATTTACCTTTTCAAAGAACCAGTTTTTGTTTCATTTATCTTTTGCGTTTTTGTTGTTGTTTCAATTATATTGTGCTCTGATCTTGGTTATTTCCTTTCTACTGCTGGATTTGGGTTCAGTTTGTTCTTGTTTCTCTAGTTCCTAGGTGTGACCTTAGATTGTCTGTTTGCACTCTTTTAGATTTTTGATGTAGGTGTTTAGGGCTGTGAACTTTCCTCTTAGCACCACCTTTGCTGTATCCCAGAGGTTTGATAGGTTGTGTCATTACTGTAATTCAGTTCAAATAATTTTTAAATTTCCATCTTGATTTCATTTTTGACTCAATGCTCATTCAGGAGCAGGTTATTTGATTTCCATGTATTTGCGTGGTTTTGAAGGTTCCTTTTGGAATTGATTTCCAGTTTTATTCCACTGTGGTCTGACAGAGTGCTTGATATAATTTCGGTTTTCTTAAATTTATCGAGGCTTGTTTTATGGCCTATCATATGGTCTATCTTGGAGAAAGTTCCATGTACTGTTGAATAGAATGTATATTTTGCAGTTGTTGGATGAAATGTTATGTATATATCTGTTAAGTCCATTTGTTCCAACGTATAGTTTAAATCTGTTGTTTCTTTGTTGATTTTCCATCTTGATGACTGGTCTAGTGTTGTCAGTGGAGTACTAAAGTCCCCCACTATTATTTTGTTGCTGTCTGTCTCATTTCTTAGGTCTATTAGTAATTGTTTTATAAATTTGGGAGCTCCAATGTTAGGTGGATATATGTTTAGGATTGTGATATTTTCCTGTTATACAAGGTCTTTTACCATGATATACTGTCCCTCTTTGTCTTTCTTAACCACTGTTGCTTTAAAGTTTGTTTTGTCTGATATGAGAATAGCTACCCCTGCTCACTTTTGGTGTCCATTGGCATGAAATGCCTTTTTCCACCTCTTTACTTTAAGTTTATATGAGTCCTTATATGTTAGGTGAGTCTCCTGAAGGAAGCAAATAGTTGATGGGTGAGTTCTTATCCATTCTGCGGTTCTGTATCTTTTAAGTGGAATATTTAGGCCATTTACATTCAAAGTTAGTATTGAAATACGAGGTACCATTGCTTTCATCATGCTTTTTGTTATCTGTGTACTTTGGATTTTTGTTTTTGCTTTTTAACTTGTATTTTTGTTTTATAGGTCTTGTGTGATTTATGCTTAAAGAGGTTCTGTTTTGATGTGTTTCCAGAATTTGTTTCAAGATTTAGAGCTCCTTTTAGCAGTTCTTGTAGTGGTGGTTTGGTGAAATTCTCTCAGAATTTGTTTGTGTGAAAACAGCTGTATCTTTCCTTCATATATGATGCTTAGTTTCATTGGATACAAAATTCTTGGCTAAAAATTCTTTTGTTTGAGGAAGTTGAAGATAGGCCCCCAATCCCTTCTAGCTTGTAGGGTTTCTACTGAGAAATCTGTTGTTAATCTGATAGATTTTCCTCTGTAGGTTACCTGGTGCTTCCATCTCACAGCTCTGAGGATTCTTTCCTTTGTCTTAACTTTGGATAACCTGATGACAACGTGCCTTGGCAAAGATCTTTTTGCAATGAATTTCCCAGGTGTTCTTTGTGCTTCTTGTATTTGCATGTCTAGGGCTGTCACAAAGCTGGGGAAGTTTTCCTTGATTATACCCCAAATATGTTTTCCAGGCTTTTAGAATTCTTTTCTTCCTCCAGTACACCGATTATTCATAGGTTCAGTTGTTTAACATAATCCCAGACTTTTGGGGGCTTTGTTCATATTTTCTTATTCTTTTGTTTTTTGTCTTTGTTGGACTGGGTTAATTTGAAGATCTCATTTTTGAGCTCTGAATTTCTTTCTTCTACTTGTTCAATTCTATCACTGAGACTTTTGAGAGCATTTCACATTCCTAAAAGTGTGCCTAAAGTTTCCTGAATTTTTTATTTTTTTTCTTTAAGCTATCTATTTCCAGGAATATTTCTCCTTTCACTTCTTGTGTCACTTTTTTTGGATTTCTTTGGGCTGGTCTTCACCTTTCTCTGGTCCCTCTCTGATTAACTTAATAACTAACCTCCTGAATTCTTTTTCAGGTAAATCAGGGATTTCTTCTTGGTTTGGATCCATTGCTGGTGAACTAGTGCGATTGTTTTGGGGGGTGTTGAAGAGCCTTGTTTTGTCGTATTACCGGGGTTGGTTTTCTGGTTCCTTCTCATTTGGGCAGGCTCCATCACAGGGAAGGTCTAGGGCTGAAGGCTGTCGTTCAGATTATTTTGTCCCACTAGGTATTCCCTTGATGTAGGCGCTCTGCCTTTTCCTATGGATGTGGCTTCCTGGGAGCTGAATGGCAGTGATTGTTGTCTCTCCTCTGGGTCTAGCCACCCAGCGAGTCTGCCTGGCTCCAGGGTGGTACTGGAGGCTGTCTGCATAGAGTCCTGTGATATGAACCATCTATGGGTCTCTCAGCCATGGATACCAGTGCCTGTTTCGGTGGAGGTGGCAGAGGGTGCAATGGACTCCATGAAGGTCCTTACTTTTGGTGGTTTAATCCTTTGTTTTTGTGCCGGTTGGCCGCCTGCTAGGAGGTGGAGCTCTCCAGAAAGCATCAGTTATAGTAGTCTGGAGAGGGACTGGTGGTGGGCAGGGCCTTAGAACTCCCAATATTATATGCCCGTTGTCTTCCACTATTAGGTTGGATAGGGAAGGACCATCAGGTTGAGGCAGGGCTAGGCATGTCTGAGCTCCGACTCTTCTTGGGCAGGTCTTGCTGCCACTGCTGTTGGGGATGGGGGTGAGATTCTCAGGTCACTGGAGTTATGTACCTAGGAGAATTATGGCTGTCTTTGCTGATTCATGCAGGTTGTCAGGAAAGAGGGGGAAAGCCGGCAGTCACAGGCCTCATCGAGCTCCCGTGCAAACTGAAGGGCCAGTCTCACTCCCACTGTGCCCCCTACCCTGCCAACAGCCCCGAGTCTGTTTCCAGGTGGAGGATGAGATGGGCTTGAAAATTTATGTGAGGCTATCCACCTCCCAGAGTATTTGGGGTGTCTCCTGGGTGCTACAGAAGCAGTTTGTTTCCTTCAGAGGGTCTGGGGGTTTTCTCGGGATTGCTGGTTTGTTCTTGCAGTTGATCTGGAGCTAAAATTCACAGTGCAAGACTGCATGCTGCAGAGTTGCAATCTAGTCCTGCTTCCTGTCTGCCATGATCCCTCATTTTTGCCAAACAAAAAATTTTAAAGAGGTCTTACATCAATGCCTACAGTTTTTTCCCCCAACCAAATATAGAAAATGAGACCACTGCCGTCACAATGGAAGTGGAAAAGCGGAACTCCGCTGCTGACCCATCTCTAAACTAGACAGCTCTTTAAGACACCAATATCTTAAAATATTTGTAGTACCTCAGTTTGCAGCTTTATTGCCACGACATGTGCAAGATGATGCTCCAATGATCAGAAGACTGTATGACCTTTGATACAAAATGAGCTGAGTACCTAGGTGTTGCGTTCACTAGTCAAGTGAACACCCCGAAGTTGATTATGCTTGTGAACCTACAATCATGACCTTCATTAGGAGGGTCCTAACTTTATTGAATCTTTTGCTCTCTCATGATATAAAAGAGGGATTACATTTTGCACGACAATATTATATTAATTATAGGAGTATGCTTTGTTCCAATGATTTCTTTCTCAGACTATGTTTTCATAGACCTGAAATGTTTTTTGCTACTTTTCACCTGGATAATTCTTATTTATTTTTCTCAGATTTTAATTTAAGTATCACATCCTCATAGAGTCCTGTCCTATCTTCCAATTAAAATCAGGACTTCCTGTTTGACTCCGACAACACCTTATCATAGCACTTGTCAAAAATAAATTTATTTGTGATTATTTATTTACTATACATGATCGCTAATAGATTATCATCTTCAGAAAGCCAGTGTTTTCACTGTATATCCAACAACTGGCATAGTGCCTGGCAAATGGTAGGTACTTGATAAATATTTGTTGAGGGAATAAAGCATAAAATCTCCCAAAATAGGACAAATGACTTACCAGTGATATGGACGTGATTAGTTTTCGTAGATCCATTGGCAGTTGTGGGGACTTCCGAAAATGCTCTGGTTGTGCTGGTAAAGACATTGTCTAGGAATATAATTGGGATATTTGGACAAGACATCTTAACTTGATCAAGTGGTATAAAATAATGACTGGGTTTCATATGCTATTTGAAATAACTCAATTTAAATTGTCTAAGTATCCCTTAAATATTATGTGTAAAGTTTATTAAGAACCAATTTATCACAAGGCTGGGATCCTGAGATTTGTCTAACAATTGCCAAAGGAATAAAATTTCCTATTGGTTGAAAAAAAATTCCTATTAATTGAAAAAAATATCCTATTGGTTGAAAATAGGAAAATTTCCTATTGGTTGAAAAAAAATAAAAAAGAAGCTCCATACTTCCAAACAACAAAATGATGTCTGCTAAAGAATCTCCATGAGAAATGTAAGTGGTACAGAAAAAGGCCAGAGTTGGGGGTCATGGATAAGTGACACACTAATCCTATTCTCTTGGTATGAGAGGTTCAGCTGATCAAAGTACTGATTCTTCTCCACATCAATATGTTTGATAAGGTTAATACAAACTCCTTTGCAACATTAGACTAGACAAATTCATGTTGACTATTCTATTTTCCAATAAAATACTGAAATATATTTTTCATAGATATAACTAGTAAAAAATGCTATCGTGTAGATTTTTTAAAAATAAAATGTATAAAAATCTAAGGCTTGGTCTCTATCGTCTTTGAATGGCTGAAAAGAATTTTGATTCCATTAATTGTAATTTTCATCATCAAGATGTACTTTTATATATCTATCTGAGGCTGGCTTCTTATCAGTTCTTGTTTTTACACCTGTGTCCAAATAAAGGTGATCACTACCTTCAGTGTCTCTAAATCTTCCCCAAGTACTCACCATGAAGTGTTGAGCCTGCACCCGAGGGGGATGAACTGTATGTTTCACTGGGTATCTGTGAAAATGCTAAAGGAAGAAGATATCAGAAGAGTTAACCTATATATGACTAGTTATTCTATTATCTCTTCTTGACTGCTAATTTAATGTAATAATTATAAAAAAAGGATATTAATGAATACTTAAAGCAAAATCATTAAACTGTTCCATAGCACACACTAGAATGTCCTCAAACAAAGTGGGAGTTGAAGGGATTCTTGTGGTTCCAATGTCCATATGGAAAGAAAACACTAGAAGGGGTTCCTCTAGCCAGAGTGTGTCATGCTCATTCCATAGATGAGCCAAAAAATGGAAGAGAATGAAGGTCCAGGTGTGTTATGGTGGCATTTAGTCAAGGAAAGCTGCCAATAGGACTTTGAGGACCTTGCTAGAACATGCATAAGGGAAGAAAATACTTTGTACTTGTGGGTCAGCTGACAGTCTTGCTGAACTGAGAAAACAAAACGTGTCAGCAGTGAATTATCAGACCCCTGTGGTCACAGGCCTTGTCAGCTGCTGAGTGAGTCCTTTTGAAGCATTTAGAGGCAAACCTTCCCCTTGAGTGGATGGCAGCAAACTCAGACAGCACATATGGCTTTTGAAATAGATCTAACAACTCATTTTGTTTATTGCCCTGTCTCTGGCAAGAAAGATTCGCTCCTTGGCAGACACCACATATCTGTATTTGATAAAAGGCCTGCAGTGCAATGTAAAGTAAAATAACTACAGTAATGCATGGTTGTAATCAGTACAAATATATTACATCCATTCATTTAAAATATTAGCATACGTGATGTTCGCAGTTAAAAGCTTTCTTGTATGTCAAGACCAAATCAAATGAGCAAAACCAAAATAAAACAAACCATACCCTCAGCCCTCCCCTTTCCTTGTTTCTCCTTAGATGCCAACAGCAGCTGCAGTTGCTGACAGAGGTGTGTGATCAGGCCCTCCAGAAGAGGTGAGAGTCCATTCTTTAGGGCTTGATTACAGGACAATTGGTCATAGCTATTTCCATTTGCGGCCACCTGAGAAGTAAGAGTGGTTTCATATGCAGCTTTTTTACAGTCTGAGTTCAGGGAGATGTTCTTATTTTCAGTATAACTCTCTGATCCTGCATACGTGATCTTTATTAATTTTTTGTCCTAGACAGAATACCAAGGCCTATTGACGATGATGGACTAAGCGTTTTTTAATGACTATGCCATTAGCCAAAATTTGATTTCCAAAGAACAATAACTGAAAAACAATTGGGACCAGGCCTAGATTTAGGTAAAAGTATGAAAAAGGCAGTTAACCTTGTAGTTTTTTTGCTAAATATGGTATGGTGACTCCTTTAATTTCTTACTTTCTAAACTTGATGTCTTTATTTTGCATCTCATCAAGGTATGTTTCCAAGAAAGAATGGGATAAATTAATTTATGCTAAAATCTAAACGGCTGAATAAGTGCTATCCATTTAAGGAAAATGGGTATTTAAAAAATATTTTCCATTTCATGTTTATTATCAGTGAGTCAATGTAGAACATTTTGTAATGGTTAGTGATGTGTGGACACTAATAGTTTTCAGCAAGTATACAGTGCCAGGCTCTTCTGGTCAATATTGATTTTCCCCAAGCAAAATAACCTAACATAACACAATTTCAGGAGATGGTCATACCATCAGCACAATTACAAATTACAAACATTACAACACTTAAAAGTATGCAATTTTCTTTTTGTAATTTCATAAAACTTCTTTTTGGACTTTTACTAACTTTCCCAATTTTAAAATACCTCTCATAATAATTAAAAAATCAAAAAAATAAGCCACTTTGGAAAAGTAGGGAGTTATTTTTCTAATTTTGACTTTGAGGTTTTTTGTTTTTGTTTTTAATCTGTTAACAACAGGTAGTGGGAAGTATGGTGAGAGAGATGAAGAAAATGGAGTTGCCTGTTGATGGATTCCAATGTCTGAAAATACTTAAATAGATAAAGGTAAACTTTCAAGACCAGAAATATATTGTAAAAAATAGTCTTTCATCAAGGTGAAGAGATGAACAATTCTGGTATCACTTGCTCTTGCAGAAGAGAACATCCTGAAGAATGCTTGTTTATAGAATCCTCTGTAAGACACAGTTGGCTACTTCTAGTGATTCATCTTTTGATGAAACAATACTTTCTTGAATGCTTATCCACTCTATCATTTAGAGATCTAATTTTCAGAATGTGAAAATTTGGCTAATTTGTATGCCCTTTTAAAGTCTTCTTGGGAGTCTCAGCAGAATTATGTTACCATTGTTTCTTTTGTTTTGAGACAGAGTTTCGCTCTTGTTACCCAGGCTGGAGTGCAATGGTGTAATCTCACTCACTGCAACCTCTGCCTTCCGGGTTCAAGTGATTCTCCCGCCTCAGCCTCCCGAGTAGCTGGGATTACAGGTATGTGCCACCACGCTCGGCTGATTTTGTATTTTCAGTAGAGATGGGGTTTCTCCATGTTGGTCAGGCTGGTCTCAAACTCCTGACCTCAAGGGATCCGCCTGCCTTGGCCTCCTAAAGTGCTGGGATTACATGCGTGAGCCACCGCACCTGGCCGCTATTGTCTTTGAATTGACTGAAATGTTCTGTGTACTTCAAGGCAACATCATGTTCATTAACTGCATGAGGCAATTCTCCTTTAAATCCTTTGAGTACACATTTTCACAAATCCACAAACAAACGCTACGTTGACATTCGGATGACAAACACCAGCTTGACTGATAAACTTCTCTACAGCACCAATATCTGCTGAAAATATGAACATGGATACCGTGTTACTGGAGCTTCTCAAGTAAATTATTATATCCTTCCTTGAGCATAACATCAAGTTCTTCCACAATTTCTTTATATTTCATTTTTTGGTAAAGCTTGTTCAACAAAGACACTATGTTGGGCAGCATACTATTCTACCATAAATGGGTACTTCTCTTGAAGTTAACAGGTTCAACTTCAATAATAAAATATTTTTCCTTCAGTTGCAATAACCTCTTTGACATTCACCTGTGACAAGTTCATAGTTGTCAATCATATTATGACACATTAGGCATCTTTTCCCATGGTAGGAGAATCTACTTAGTGTCATATCAAAGTCCATTATTATTAAAGTTTGGCATCTTCCTTTAATAAAACCACAGATAATTTGTTATCTTTGCAGGGTTCTTGATGCAAACTGAACTTTTCTGGAATTCCTGCATCATTTCTACATGCACAGCAGACTTTTGATGTCACTTCTTAGCTATTCAATATTCCTTAAGGCATTCTGAGTTCTTCTGTTTTTGATTGTGTCCTTGAACAACAGCATAGGTGGCAAACAATATCCAGAGATGCAAGGCCTGGCCACAGGAATCTTGATGAGCTTGATTTTTCATCTCATCTTCCTTTTCAAGGTGAATATGTACTGGGCCAGCACCACCTCTGCCACCCAGGTGCACACACTGGTGCTAGCTTCTGTGCCCACTTTTGCCATGTCCACCTGGTCCACAAATACGGCTCTCATACTCTTGTTGACAAAGATGATACTCACAAGCTTTGAAGGATGGGGCTTGTGCCTTAACCATGGGGAAACCCATGAAGCTCCCAGAAATGTGTGCAGGCGTGCCTGACTTTATTGCACATCACAGACACAGATACTGCTTTATTTATTTATTTATTTGTTTTTTTTTTTTTTTTTACAAATTGAAGGTTTGTGGCAACCTTGTGTCAAGCAAGTCTATAGGTGCCATTTTTCCAACAGCATGTGCTCAATTCATGTCTTTTCATGTCTTTGTGCCACATTTTGGTAATTCTTGCAATATTTCAAACTTTCATATTATTGTTATATCTATTACAGTAATCTGTGATCAGGAATCTTAGATGTTACCATTGAAATTGTTTTGAGGCACCACAAACTGCACCCATAGAAGATGGAGAACTTAATTGATAAATGTTGTGTGTGTTCTGACTGCTCCACTTACTGGTGGTTCTCCCATTTCTCTTCCTCTCCTTGGGCCTCTTTTTTTTTTTTTAATCTGAGACAAAACAATATTGAAATTCGGCCAATTAATAATCCTAAAACGGTCTCTAAGTGTTCAAAGGAAAGGAAGAGAAGCACGTTTCTCACTTTAAATCAAATGCTAGAAATAATTAAGCTTAGTGAGGAAGGTATGTAAAAGCTGAGACAGGCTCAAAGCTAGGCCTTTTGGGCCAAATCATTAGCCAAGTTGTGAATGCAAAGAAAAAGTTCTTGAAGGCAACTAAAAGTGTCACCTCAGGGAACACATAAATGATGACACTGCTGATATGGAGAAAATTCGAGAACATGTGGTGTTTGGTTTTCTGTTCCTGCATTAGTTTGCTGAAAATAACAGGTTCCAACTCCACCCATGTCCCTGCAAAGGACAAGATCTCATTCCTTTTTATGACTGTATAGTATTCCATGGTGTATATGTATTACATTTTCTTTATCCAGTCTATTATTGATGGGCATTTAGGTTGATTCCATGTCTTTGCTATTGTGAACAGTGCTGCAATGAACATACTTGTGCATGTGTCTTGAATAATAGAATGATTTATATTCCTTTGGGTATACACTCAGTAATGGGATTGCTGGGTCGAATGATATTTTTGCCTCTAGGTCTTTGAGGAATTGTCACAATGTCTTCCACAATGTTGAACTAATTTACACTTCCGCCAACAGCGTAAAAGCATTCCTTTTTCTCCACACCCTCACTAGCATCTGTTGTTTTTTGACTATTTAGTAATAGACATTCTGACTGAGATGATATCTCATTGTGGTTTGATTTGCCTTTCTCTAATGATCAGTGATGTTGAGCTTTTTTTTTTTTTTCATGTTTCTAACTACATGCATGTCTTCTTTTGACAACTGTCTGTTCATGTCCTTTGCCCACTTTTTAATGGGGTTGTTTGTTTTTTGCTTGTAAATTATTTACAGATGCTGGCTATTATACCTTTTTCAGATGGATAGATGGCAAAAATTTTATTCCATTCTGTAGGTTGTCTGTTTGCTTTGTTGATAGT